CTAGAACATCATTTTGGACTCTGACTAACAACAGACTTAGGCCTTTGACTATTTGCCTGTGAGTGTGTATTTATAGGAGTTAATTATTATTTTCCAGGGAGTCAGATTATAAGAGAAATTTCATTTTATATTTTAAGCACCATCTTGGTATTAATGAAAGTTTTTATTGAATAAATGAAAGTGTATATTGCTTTACCAGTTAAAAGTATATTTTTAAATGAGAATACCTTTTAAAAATTACAGTCATTACACACCTACTGTTTTATTGCCCAATTTTGTTTGAATTTTACAATATATTAAAATTTTTCAACAACTAGGCCATTTGACACAATCCCAGTAGCAGAACTTGGGCATATCTTATTTGGCCATAACCAGACTTCATTTTATCCCCCTATTTTGAGATAGAAAATATACTGTAACACACTATTTCATTTATCAAAACTTACCAGAGGAAAACTCTTCCGAGAAAATGGATGCTGACTTTGGGCCGTGAACCAGAACCCGAGAAAGAGGACACCGTTTTCTGTAGATGGAGGGAGTAATTTTAATTCCTGCTGTGAGTCTGTCTTCCCTGTTTATTTAATGAGCCACAAAAGCATTGCCAATCTACCTACAAGCCCCTATGCAGTGACCACAAAGGATACACATGCTGCCCCCTGCCCCTTACCACGCAGCGCAGGACCCATTACCGATTAAAGCACTTCAGCCTGCAAGTGACCTCTCAAATCACTCTCAACACAAATTTTCCATCAACTACCTGTATTCCACTGTAGCACTTGTTTTCCGTCCTGGCTGGCCACATCCTCATCCTCACAAAAGACGCAGACAACTCTGCCTAGAGCCCATCTTACCATCTGGAAGAAAGCCAAGAATTGAGTGAGCAGAACTGGCCAGCTGATATAAGCAGAGTAAATGACTTTATAGTATTATCTCCCAAATGTTTCATAGATGAAAGATAAAACATTTAATGGGCTTTGAAGGCTAAATTGCATTACCTTCTCATTTGAATCCCTATGATTGATGCAGAGAGGCCAGTGCTCCTGACCTGGTCAGTAAGACCTTGTCCCACCAGAGGATCTGGGTTTAGGTCCTCTCCAGGTTTAAACTGAGCCATCATTTGATTGAAACAGTCACCGTGCTCTTTGGGTTGTCCATCGCCTAATCGTTGTGCTCAGCCCAGGCATTGTGTAGGCTCCAGCCTAGTGTGGTACAGTGAGAGACGAGGGCATGTGCTGGCGGTTCCCTCCATTTCTTCAACCTAATCACAGGCATTTAAAGGCCACGTCAATTTCTATTATTCAGGTAAATGGAGACTTTATGTATGAATTTACTAGTTTGGAACCTTTGTAAGATGCAGAGATTGATTTTAGAAAAGAAACACTCAGTCTTGGCAGTGCCTATTGAACTAGAAATGGGGTTACCAGGCCACCATCTTGTGGAAATTAAATCAGCACAAATAAATGTGGAACAGGGCAAACGTCATACCTCCCAGGGTTTCCTTTTAAAAAAATCACGTTAACTACATTTGACCTCCATAACTGTTTTTGGCCTCTGGTCTTTGTTTTTAGTTAAAAACAGGCACTTTATCTACATCTCTCTGGAACAGAGGGAAAAAGCTCCAGTTTACAGCTTTTTATATAATAGTATGACTGGGCTCGGCATTTGATAAAATGAGTTGTCACATACACATATCATTTAAAGGTGAAAGTTATGTTGAACTTGATGAATTTACTTCTTTTGGCCATGATCTCAGATGAAGTTTTTGTTTCAGGCTTGCTAGTTGATTATTATCACCGCGTCCTCTCTATACTCAACCAGAGTTATTTTGTCCTGAGCAGCTTGGGTTTTCTGACTTCAGTTGCTCTACCGAGAGCCCACTGCAAACCAGAGTATTTGCATCAGAAGTTTGAGTGTCCTTAAATTGGAATGTAGGGTGATTCATGAGGTTTGCATCAATTATTAAACATCATAGATGAAGATCTGCAGAGGTGGATGGGGCCCTACAGTATTCTGGTTACACCTACTGGCTTAGCAGTGATAAATGAGTCAGGAAACATGAAGGTTCAAAACAGGTATTAACTTGAGCTGCAGTGGCCTGTGCTCTGAAGGGAGGTAGACAATAGCTGGATATAAACAACCTAGTATACAGACCAGCCCACTGGCAGGATTAAAACAAAACTAAGGACTTGGCAAGAAGACTAAAGAATTTGAGAATCCTGCTGTGCCAATCACCTTTTCCTCTTACAAGGTTCTTGAGGGAGGCATAGCACAAATAACTGTAACACCTAGAAAATAAATGGGTCATGTTTATTAGCTGGGGTCATGCATGGATCCCTCATAACGCAGAGTTTGAGTAACACCAGCTTGGATCAGGTGGCTCAGCTGTGAACTGGAGTCTGACCTTGTTTTGACCTGTGCATCTCTGAAAGGGAGAGTGAAGACGTTTTCTCAGGGAGTCTGGGCAAAAAGACAAATGTGTATGTCATCCCTGGGAGAGTGAATTTTGTTTCTGTTGGTGTGATGTTTTCTTGGAAACTGAGTCGAGACTGACCTTGGAAAATGGTGCTTAATTCTTCCTTCTGATTCCTAACTTCAGTAACAGGGAAGGCCCATCTTTTAGTTCCCAGTGTACCTTCTAGAACTCTGGAGTCTGTGTCAACATTGCTTCTAAGAGGAAGGGTGTAGAGTGCAGTTAGGCTGGTTGTTGACCTAAAGACATCCTAAACGTGACTCTGGTAACCTGTCCACCAGAGACAGGGGGTCCTCCCCACCGCTCCCCCTTTGTTCCCCGCCACTCTTTCCTTCAGGAGGTATTTATAGCTTTAATAGTTTGAGAGCTTCCGCCTCCTACTGAGGTACCTGACAGAAGCTGCCATGTCCACTTTAGGTTGCGCACAAGTCAGGAAGCTTCGTGGATAACCCCATTGCCAACCCCTCACTGAAAAGCCAGAATCAGTAACAAGTGTTAGAAGTGTATGCTAGTGCTCAAGTGCTTTTTCCCAGGGCATCCTGAGGCAGCTGCAAACCCTGCACAGCCGCCTTCTCTCCTCTTTACATGAAAGTGCTTTGCTAAGATACACAAACTCTAACAAAGGAAAGTGGCGTCATAATTCACTTGAGGTGCTGGCTTCTCAGCCTTGCTGGGCTTGCTTACTCCTCAGTGAGCACTCATTCTAGAAATGGGCTTCCAAACTTACATCAGGAACCAAGGAACTGCCCAGCTTCAATTGGCTTTCCTTAAAAGTTGTATTCATTTGGAGGAATCTTCCTGAGTGGACAGACTAGATCTCTAGTTGAGATCATCCATAAGGAATGGGGTGGCCTTTCCTGAAGAAAGACTCGATAGACCAGATGTCACAAACTCATGACTCACCAAACACATTCTACCCACAGGCGAGTTTTTTTTTTGTTTTGTTTGTTTGTTAATGTCATGGCTTGGGGGAGTAAAATAGTTGACAATATTATAAAATTCAGAGATTTTGCATAAAATCTGGATTTCCAGCTTCTTGTTAAAAAAAAAATCTAGCAGCACGTGAAATATTTCATATCCACAAGTAGCCATCCCCTTAAGAGGAAGCTTTCTCCTTCACCTGGTTTACTTCGGGCCATGATGCCTCATGGCTCCGCAGGGCTTTGAATTTGCTACCACTGGAGTCAGACACCCAAGAAGCCAAAACAGGAAATCGTGAATTGTTCTTTTAAATGCTCCCTACTTGAGAGTGGCCTTGGCTTGTCCTTAGTCTTTTTAATTCTGCACAGAGAATGACTATCGAAGTGTTTTTGTATGTGGAACGGGACTGTTCCCTGCAAAGTGGAGAATTTTACACTACTTACCTGAATAAATCAGGCATACAAAGAAAATCCTGAAATGATGATATTAAAGTGAGATTTGGGATTTGAATTATTCAGGGGTAATTGCCTTCGTTTTCCACCTCACTGTCTCCCCTTTGCTTTCCTCACCTGGACATAATCTTCAGAATGTTCCTCTGTCAAAGGCCATAGTCATAATTCCCCTGCCTCTTGTTTTTTTTGTTGTTGTTGTTGTTTTGTTTTTTTAAAAAAACTCATTTGTACTCTGGGTAGCAATTGTTGGAGCCCTGCAGGGGAATAATTGCAGAGGAATTAACCTCTGACATTTTTCTAAAAATAGCCCTAATAAATCCAATCATAGGTAATTTACCTGTCCGTGTTGCTCCAGGGTAACCAGGGTTGAAGAAAGACCTGGCAGGCTGGCATTCCTTCAGCAATTATCTGTGATCTGAGTTCCTGGCGCCTGTGTATTTTCTTCATTCTGAAATAACAGAGTACAAATTGCCCTCTCCCCTCTGACCTCATGACCCTGTTCTCAACATCTTGCTCCTGGGGTTGGAGTAAGGCCATGCTCTTCCAGATGGGGGTGTTGGGCTCACTGGGGAAGAGGGAGCCTGGGTCAACCTGGAGTATTTGTGGTCAGGCTGAGTTTCTGCCTCCTAGCATCCCAGTGGTACCTTCCTGTTGCATCCCCACATCTGAGCTTCAAGCACCCCCAGCCCTGGTGCTTCACAGTCTTCAGCCTGCTTTCAAAAGGCCACAACTGAAACCTGTTTGGGGAAGTTTCTCTGTGTAGAAAGAAGGAGGAGGCCCAAGGCCCCGGGTGGGTAAAAGGTCCCCGGTTGGTAAAAATTCTTAAAAATCAAAAGCAAGAAGCAAACATTGCCATTTCCTGGGGGCATTAAGGAAAGGCGTTTTCTTTTGCCCCAAACAAATGGGTCTGTATGTGCTTCTCCCTTTTGTCATCCCAGATGTTCCAAGAGCCCACGCTGCCGTGTGGACATCTAGGAAATTGCCTTTCTCAAACGCCACTCCTCGTGGCATTTAAAATATGGAGCATCAAATTCTTATAAATTCCACTGCAGAGACAAAGCCCAGAGCCCTTCAGTGCACAGAAAAGTATATCTATTATCTATCGTTTCAAAGTAAGTGTGCAGTTACTTTAATTGCCTTTGTCTTCTCCTTTTCAGCTGACATTATCTCTACGGTAGAATTCAACCACACGGGAGAATTACTAGCGACAGGGGACAAGGGGGGTCGGGTTGTAATATTTCAACGGGAGCAGGAGGTAAGTGGCAGTGAATGCAAAATGCCCATTTTCTTCTCTTTTTAAAGGAGGCCTCCTACTGTTCCTTAATCCTCATGTGTCGCCCTTAACCTTGCCGCTTTGCTCGCAAGCTAAAAACTGCCAAAAAGTCATTAACATCAACAGTTCCACATTCAGGCTCATTGAAAGCACCCGATGCTAGAGCCTAATCTTTCCAAACCTGGGTGTTGCACATTCAAAACGACCTCACTTCCCATCCGACCTGCAAAACTCCATGGGTGCTGCTGAGCAGAGAACTCCTTTTTGACTGGGATTTCTCTTCCAGCCTTTGAAACGAAGTCTCCAGATCTCAGGTGCTCCTGCAGAATATGTAGGAGGGGGAAAAGATAGCTCTTTGCTAACAGATATGAAAAGGACACCTTGGGTCAGTGGAGAAGAAAGGGACAGTTCACCCTACCAAAGGGAGTGAGAACCCACAAAATAACATCTCAGCCATGCATGTGGTTGAGAACCCACAAAATAACATCTCAGCCATGCATGTGGTGTGTGCTTTACTGTAGGAGTCATCACGGTCCCTGGAGCTCGATGCTGTGTGCATTCGGAGCAGGAGTTCCAACTTCCAGTGAATTGAATCTCAGAAAAGCCCATTTCCTCCTGAGACTTGGGTTCCACTAGGAATTGTTTCTCTTTTTCATATAAATTGAGTTTTTGGTGCCTGCTTCTGTTTTGTCAGAATGGAATTACAACCCAATCTGATTTCCTTGGCCTCCCCTGGCATGGTCCTGGGGCTTCCAGCAGGCCGGTGTGTGTTCTAAGACCTCTCCCATCTGTTACCGCCTGCCTCTGAGATTCACCAGGCCCAGTGCAGGGGGAGGCCCAGTGCAGGAGGAAGGTTTCGCAAGAGACTTCCCTAGCAATTTAAAGCCTGCTTTGTGCCTCAAAGCCATTTATGTTCCACCTCCCCTCAAAAAAAGGAAAGCCTCATTTAGAGGTGATATATTTGGTAATTGCACATTATTTGCAATTAATTTCTATAAGGGCATCGTGATCCCTCGGGGTTCCGTAGAAATTCAAGTGTTCAGCATTAAATCAGGCACCCGGCCTATTCCATTGGCCCTGGAAACACGAAAATGTGGTTGGCAAGTAGGAACTAATAGCTCTTCGTGACCTGGAATTTTTCCTGCTTTTCCAGAGCTGCCTAGTGCTAATTGGTCTGGCACATACTACACACACTTGACAGTCTGATTTGGATGGTAGCAAATCAACACACATAAATTTATTGTTAAGGTGGACTGGCTGTCTCTGTAGTAAGCAGGATATTAGCATTAAAAGTCCTTTGAAAACTGATTTTCAAACCTTCTTCCATTAAAAAAAAAAATCCAATTAGGTTCATAGTGATGATAAAGAAGAACCAGAGCAACTATTTAACATATATTACCCAAGGCAGCATGTTGCCGGTCATATTCTATATCACGATTTCCATTAGCTATTTATGGATTTCACCTATTTTAATTGACTGAACTATTTGGGAAGCCTGAGTCAGTAGCAGAAGGAAAGGGCACACGTTTTTCCAAAGGAGGAGGGTGGTTTTGTTCAATAAAATATAGACGTGGAGGTTGGTAGCATACAGTTGAGTGTTCTGCTTTGCAGCAAGGCTTCGGGTTGGAATGAACGCAAAGCCTGAGAAAGCCATAGGACAACATCTAGGGTCAGGCCCGCTGCCTACTTGTGTGAGTGGCTTCTCAGGAGGCACACTCTGGGAGAATTTGCTCATAGACCCTCAGCACCCTTGCAAACACACCCCACACCGGCCATCGGCACCATCACCCGTCAAATGGAATAAATGGAGACTTGGGTTTGAATGTTCAATATCCATCCAGGAATATGATTGTGTTTTTCTAATTGAGACTTTTCTTTAGAGTCAAGTTTCTATGACAAATGTGTGGTAAGACCTGAATTTGAATTTGGTTTTCCAAAGCCTGAATCTGGAAGCGCTTAGTAATAATGTCCTATAACACCTGCAATAAAAGCTCCCCCCTTTTTTTTTCCTTCTCATCTTTCCCTCACACCCTTTTTGTTCTTCTTTCCAGCCTCTTCTTACCCTTGTGCCCTTCTGCAGATCCTATCCTCTTTCATTCTCCCATCTTTTGCATAGTTCCTGTGGTTCCATGCTAGCATAACCGGAGCTGAGGGGAAGCCAGAGGTAGAGTCTGACAGTCCTCCAGGGACTCCTGTGGCATCTCTGTGCCAATGTCTGTTTTGTCTCTTGTGCCACAAGAAAATGGGGAAGGAAGAGATCAGATGCCCAAATCTGTGTATAAGCTGTGTGACCTTGGAGAGGTCATTTTAATACCTCTGAACCTCTTTGGTCCATTTCCCTGCACTGCTTACCTCTCAGAGGTTCTGTGAGGATCCAGTGTGATTTTTAAAGGCCAGCAAAAGGTATAGATATCATTGCTTTGAAATCTTTGTGAGGGATTAATATAGGTCAGTGTGGATGTGGCTGTGGGATGGCTCCCTCCTAAGGGTGTCTGAGACCTCTATTAGGATGTAGAAAGAAAATATTAGAATTTCTCTTTATATTCTCTTTAAATCGTGTCCTATTTTGACATCTATTTCTATGTGTATTTTGTACACACTATATATTAGTGCAGAAGTTCATGCATATAATTTATAAATAAATAGATGTATATTGGAGGTGCCAGTTATGACCCACAGGGATGCACAATCAAATGCTGGGGAGGCCAGTAAGGTAAGATCAACTAGTTGCCATGGGTCTGCCCTCATTCTACACTGACGTGGCCTGACCAGCCCACCCAAGGGACTCTAATGCTGGAAAAAAAGAAAAAAGGAATTGGTGAATTTGCAGTTGGCTTATATGATTTCATTTCTTTTGTGTGTGTTTTTTTCCCTTCCTACAGAGTAAAAATCAGGTTCATCGTAGGGGTGAATACAATGTTTACAGCACATTCCAGAGCCATGAACCCGAGTTCGATTACCTGAAGAGTTTAGAAATAGAAGAAAAAATCAATAAAATAAGATGGCTCCCTCAGCAGAATGCAGCCTACTTCCTTCTGTCTACTAATGGTACGTGGAGGTGACTTTGCCTATTTGGTAATTGCAGAGATACAATCAGCAAACCATGTATTTCCATCTCTCTTGAGCTCACTTTTTGAGCTGTTGAAAAACTTTCAAACAGTATATGCAAGATGCCTACCAGAGTTCTCAGCACAGGGTATCCCCTCAGTACATAGCTATTATCCTTTTTAAAAATAACGGATTTATGACCAAATTATTTGAGACCCATTGTCCGTAGTTTTTGACTAGTGCAGATTATTTCCAGGTGTTTTTAGAATCTGACTTCCTTTCTTAAGATTGACTAAATGTTATTCTGGGAATACAGTTCAGACAATTCAACATGCCATCCCTGTGAGTTGGGCATACTGAATCAAAATTATTAGTTCCTGGATGTATTTGGGGGTTCGTAAAGGAAATGACTGTGTCTCTCTTACACCATCAAGTTCTTGGCCGGGAGCACAGGTCAAGAAGAGAGGGGGACCTACCAAAGAATAGACCAAAAAGTGATTTCTTTCTCTCTGGGTCCTTCCATCCTCTTCTTATACCATTTGTTATTATAGGGGGAGTTGATAGAAATAGGTCAGAGAGAGAGGACGTTAGGGGTTGAACAGAGAGCCAAATTCCGTATTTGTTTGGTAAACTTTCATGCAGTGAAATGACCTACCCTAAAGGTTCATAATACCCTTGCTGAAAGAAGCCATCTATTCTCAGAACAATTCAGAGTAAAATCACATACTAAAGGGTGCTAATTGAATAGCATAACAATTCAGAGGATTAGTGTATAAAAATTGAAAACCTGCTACCAAGCTGGAGAGCACTTCATTTCATCCCACATGTGAGTCTGCCTCAGAGGGATATACATTTAAATATAAGTCAAGAAGGCAGGAATTTGCTTTTTACCTATGCCCAGCACTGACAAGGCCATGCTCACATGTATATAATATGATCAGATATATATTAACATTTTTAAAGACAGGAAGCACACAGAAAGATTTATGATTAATTTTGGATCATGCATGTTGAATGTCTTGTAGATTTTGTTCCTTTTATCATTTTTTACTTGCTAATAAGCTTTTACAGTGAGTTTTATGTTAATCATCTGAAAAGAAGGGGGAAAGTTTTTAAAGCATATGAACTAAAACTCCCTTGATGACAAAGCCAGTATAGAAACTTGAACATGGGCACTTCTGAAATAGCCAGTTTAGGGTTATTCAAGCATGGCTTATCTCAACATGACCAGATCTCCACTCCTCTGTTTTTCCAGATTCTCAGTAATTTGATTGTTTCTCAGAACTGTATGTATTGTTCACTTTACTTTTTTTCAACACAGATTTCTTGAAAGCCAGACCACATGCATGTTTTTCCTCCTCCTCCTCCTCCTCCTCCTCCTTCTTCTTCTTCTTCTTCTTCTTCTTCTTCTTCTTCTTCTTTCTTCTTTCTTCTTTCTTCTTTCTTTTTTTTCGTTTTGCTGTTGAAGTTTTACTCAAAGGCCCTGTGTATCCAACCCTTTAGAATAAAAGAGACTTCTGATGATGTTGACTTAATCATTTCAGGCAGTAAAAGTGTCTGATTATCTTCTATGGCTAACTTACTTTATATTACAAAATTTACCCTATTGATTATTACTATAAAACCCAAAGACTTATTAAGTGCTTTGTGGGGGGGATGGGACGGCAATCATTGAAATGCAATGAAGATTAATTATATAGCATAATGTTCTGTTAATTGAGTTTTTAAATAGTTTTTTGATTAACAAGGATATTATCTTCCCATTTGGGATGCTATTTCATATGCCAACAGCATCTCAAAATGATTCTGAGAAGAAAAATTCCCATGTTCTTCTGCGATTTTCTTTTTTGTACTAATATTGAGGTTGAGAATTCCCCTTAAGCCAAATAGGTTAACATGCAAAAATTAATGAAAGACAATTGGAATTACTGTACAAAAGAGAAAATGAAGATAGATGATAAGATTGTGTTTAAAAGCTGCCACAAGTAATGATAAACTACTCAGAGAGCCAGCCAGAAAAAAGAAAAAGTCATTACTCATAGTAACAGCCACATGTTCCTTAGACTTTTTTATCCACAAAGCTTCAAGATACTAAGTCAAGAAAAATTGTGTGATAATAAAGTCTAGAATGACTCCAGGCAACCCAGCCATGGGGAATTGGATTGAATTTGCCATCAATTATCTTAAAAAAAAATGTGCTTATCTCATTACAGTTTGGTGCAGTTTTTACATTCTGCTAGCATATATTTTCAACTTTACCATATTTCATGAAAAATAAAACCAACATTCCATTGTGAATCAGTACTTTGAAATTATTTGCCAGGTACAAACACGTTGCTTTACCTAGCTTTCTATTTCTATCTTAATTCTTAGGATGAGAGGGAAAGGGAAATGATTTGTTTTGTGAGCTAGGAAACTAGTGTGTATTCACCATAAAATTTTTTTTTAGAAAATACAAGGAAGAAAAATGAAGATAACAAAGTGTTTACACCCAGAGAGAACCAGTGTTGATGTCTTTTAAAGAAAAAAGCAGAGACATGGATAAACAGATAAATCTTTTTGCTTCTTAACAAAAGTGGGATTATTTGATAAGCTGTTTTGCAACAAATTTTTTTCACTTAATAATATAACACTTAACAATAGTAATATCTTCCTAGTTGTTAAATATTCTTCTAAAATATCATCACATTTTCGATGACTGCATAGCATTCCCTTGTATGAGTTTTCTATAATTTGCTAATAAATCTCCCATTATTCAACCTTTAATTATCAAGAAATTCTTATTCTTAATAAATTATATATTTATAGGAGTAGATGTTAGTATGGATAGATAGGATCAGGAAAAATAAACTATGCATAGCATATTACATATATTAAGTTATATAATTATATACATAAATATAATGAAAGGATATTTCATTCAAAATTTTTATAATACTTTATCTAGTAGAATTGAGGAAGGTTTTAATTTATTTTTTTAACTTTAGGGCTCTTTAAATTTTGCATGATAAAAGGAAATAAAATGAGAAAATACAAAATCTGTATATGCAGTATCCCTATTGAGGTTTGTACTCTTCCTGCCAAAATGTAGAGAAACAATACTGCAAATGTCTCTGCAAAATGTTAACAAGGATAGTCCCTGACTAGAGGGATTATAGTTGATTCTTGCCCTTTATGTTTTACCTGTGATTTCTCTATTTCTCTGTGTTGCAATGTATCATCCATAATAAGAAAAATAGAAGAATTGTCGAATGGGACAGGATATATTCCAAAGCCAAGCAATAGAAAATATTTGGTGTTGAAAGTCCCCGTTTTGTGTTGTTCTGAGTCACAGCTGACCATCACTAATCCAATGACTGTATAAAGCAGAGCCTCTGCTTCATTTTCTCACCCTAAAATACCGGGCATTATGCTGCAGTGTGTCCAGAGAGGGTAGGACCAGAGGCATGTTGGTGTATGGATAGGAAGTTCAGAATTCAACTCAGTGTCTCGGGAAAGGCTTCCTTGCCTTCTTTCCCAGTACAAGCCGGGGGGAGCACACAGTTCAGAGCACACAGATCTTACACTTAGCAACCCAGCCAGGTGTGCCAGCAGACATGACCAGCTGGAGGAGTCCCCAGATAAGAGGAAACAGGGGTACTTACCTGTTAAAGTAGCCAGATGGTTGCTGAAAGCCCACTTCAGGAGAAGGTGCATTTCAGACCTCTGGGAACAAGGCCTTTGTTGAGGAGGCATGGGAAGGAAGATGAAGGGGTGAAGGAGAAAAGGAACCCTAATAGAGGCTGGGGGAGGGGTGGCTCTTCTGCCCACAGTGTTAGGGAGGAAACAAAATGTGCTGACGTCACCCCGGGATGAAACTGTTGCTGTCAGAGCAACATGTTATTATCAGAGAATAGTCGCCCACTTTGCTAATTCTAATAACAGCTGCCCTTTGTCAGCCAGTATTAGAAGGCCACCCATGTTCAACACCGTACACAGGGTGTTCCGTGTAATCCTTCTGAGAGCCCCGTGGGGAAGACACTGTTTGCCCCAACTTAAAAATAAAGAAACCAAAGCATAGTAAAGTTAAGTGTCTTTATTTGTGAGGTGGAAATATTTGGGACACATCCTAAAATGTCATTTGTTGCTGCTCTGAGGTTCAAATTGAATTAGGCATTCTGTACTCTTTCTCCTGATCAATCGGGTGCTCCTGTCACTTGAAGAAACTAGGCACCTACTACATGAGAATCCCAGTCATCAGCCGCTTGGCTGGCTGGAGTGGGAGTGAGGGTGTGGCCCGAGCTTGTCTGGTTCCAAAGCCTACCCTGTGCAGGCACAGAGGAAGGTACAGAGGAGGTATTTAAGGAAGGGGCCTTCCACAAGAAAAGCTAGAGGAAGTACAAATAATGAAGGCAGGACCTGTTCGGCAAAGTCTACAAGTCACACGGCCCCCACATATGATCTGATTGGCCCAAACATGTTTACTTAAGAAATGGGATCGAAAGCCTACAGGTGAGGCATGCCATCTCCTGCCTCCCAGAGCCCCCAGCCCCTCGCACTCATTCCCCTGTACTGCCTCACCCCTGTAGACATTGGAGATCTTGCCCTGCTTTATTGCTATGGAGAATGATAGGTGTCAGCTAGTGATATAAAGCTCTGGAACAGTACACAGGTGAGAAAGGTAGTTTCCAGCTGGAGATTCCAAGGAGAGTGCAAGGGGAAAGGAGCATTTTGATGAATGTTCTTACCATTGTATATCTCTGAGTATCGCTAGCAAGATATGCACTGTAGAGATAGGATTCATTCATTCATGCACCTAATATGTATTGAACATCCACTGTGTCCCAGGCACTGTTGTGGGTGCTGGATGTGTAGTGATGGACAACACAGAATCCTGCCTCCAGTGAGTTTCTAGGAAGGGAGACATAAAAAAGCCTATATCAGATAGAGGGAAGCACCAATATTTTGAAGCAGGAGGAGCAGGCGAGAGAATGGTGGGGATGTTTTGATGTGGGTTGGTTAGGAAAGGCCCCTCTGAGGGTGGGACTCACACAGAGCAAAGGGAAGGAACAAGTCACATGAAGAAGAGGGTCAAGGGCTTTTGAGCAAAAAGCGCAGCTAGTGCAAAGTCTGAGGCAGGAGTGGAGGTGACGTGTATGGGGGGCCGTGAGGAAGCCATGTGGCTGGAGCACAGGGCAAAGGAGGCAATCAGTGAGACCAGAAAGGGTGAGGAAATACAGATCATGGAAGACCATTCAGGTCATGGTCAGGGCAGTGCTTGTGGGGTGGACACTGAAATGGGGTTACCTACCTCCCGGGGTTAGGGTGCACATTAAATAAATTGTCCAGGGCAAGTGCTGATAATATAGTTACACAGCTAATTCTGTCCATGTGGCTCCTCTTATTCAGTGTTCAATAAATATTTTTATTGAATGAACCAAAATAATGGTTAAGCTCCAGATTTCATAGGCCATTGTCAGGAAAACCATTGGTCTGGGTATAATATGGTTTTGTTTTGAAACATGAGCGCTGCCTCCAGACAAATGAGATTTATGCCCTGAGCCCTTGACTCGAACCAGCGTCAGTAGCATGTATCCGGTGCTCATCTCCACCTCTCCCTGCTTCTCCACCCCTCTCCCCCTGCCATCCACACATAGAACACCTTGACAAGCTTGTTTTCACTGTACTTTTGATTTACTCTGGTTGCCCTCCACAGATAAAACTGTGAAGCTGTGGAAAGTCAGCGAGCGTGATAAGAGGCCAGAAGGTTACAATCTGAAAGATGAGGAGGGCCGGCTCCGGGATCCTGCCACCATCACGACCTTGAGGGTGAGCCCGGGGGCAGCTTTTGCCACCATCTTTCATTTGTCTTGGCCACCAAGCACAAAGGAAGGGCCCCCTGGTGTGCATGGGCTGGGTGCTGCCCTAGGATGCAACTGGAATGTATGAGTGAAGGGGATGAAGCAGGGACTTGACCTGAGTGCGTGTCCTTCCTTTATTCCCCTAGGACTGGTCTTCATGGCCACCACTGTGCCTTACTATATTCTTAGCCTCTGCTCACGTTTCCTAAAATGTCTTGAGCGTCTTTTGTACTCAAGGTCCAGGGGATGGGACTGCCCATATGGCAGGTTGGGGTTTTGTGATTCAGGACATGAACTTCTGCATGTAATGGGCCTGGGTTGGAATTTGGCCACTCACCAGAATCGCCTGTAGTTGCTTAACCCTCTTGAACTTGAGCCATGCAAGTTATTTTTAGTTTCTCTGTCTGTAAAACAGTGAACCTCGTACTTGGGTGAAAAGGTGGTGAGGGTGGAAAGCCCTCCTTCCGTGGCCAGTACTCAATATGTGCTCTCTGCTATTAATCTGAATAGCTCCCTTCCTGCCATCCAGAAACGCACAGTCCAGTGAAGAAGGGATTTGTAGGTCTAATATAAAAATGCTTATGGTGCTAAATAGAGTAAGATAAATGCAGAGAGTGTCAGAGAGTTACAGTTTGATCAAAGGAGGAAGAAATTATATTTGGCTCTAGGAGAACCAGGAAAGGTCTCTTAGGAAAGTGATTGTTAAAAATGGATTTCTAAAAGCAAACTTTTAAGGGAAGGCTCTCCAGATACAGGTTAAAATGGTTTAGGACTCGATGGTGAATTTAGGTTGGGATGTGTTTAACATGAGCACAAGGGCAGGCACATGTTGAGACCAGCCCCAAGGGACTTTCAAAACTGTGTCAAATATGTTAGCTGGTAGCTTTCAGATACCAGCTGCTTTACTGAAGACCAAAAACTGAGAAGGGAGGCAGTGCAGTGCATGTGGGGAAAAGAGGTTGTCACTCTAGGGTTTAGAAGCAAATACAGGGATTGAATGATCAGTGTGTGCCTGATTAGCTCACTTGTTTATTTGTTCATTAATTCATTTGTTCCACTCTTTATTCAGCAGGTGCTTTAAAAAAATTATTTATTTGAGAGAAGGAGAGTGCATGAGCAGGGGGAGGGGCAGAAATAGAGGGAGAGAATCGCAAGCAGACTTCCCACCAAGCATAGACCCCAATGCGGGGCTCAATCTCACAATCCTGAGGTCATGTTCTGAGCTGAAACCAAGAGTCAGACACTCAACTGACTGAGCCACACAGATGCCCCCAGCAGGTGCTTTTTGAACATAGGCTCATTGCTGCCCACAGTGCTAGGCTGCCAAGTGTTGACCCAGTACTCACGGGTAGCTGGTCTTTTGTTGAGCTGCTTCTGAGCAGGTAAGCATTGGCTGCTCTGTTTCCTCTTGTCAACCTGTACCTTCAGCCTGAAGAACTGCCACACAAGTCTTCCATATCAGACAGGACTGATGCTCTAAATGCTCAGAGGTTTTGCAGACCTGAGGGGAGGGTAGTGAAGAGTGAAGAATGTGGACATTGAGTCTGTCTGTCCTGGGTTGGAACAATGGCACTGTAGGTCTCCAGCTGGGGACCTTGGACATACTAACTGAAGTCCTTGTGCCTCCAAAGTCCCATGTGCATTACAAGGATTCACTGCCTCCTGGGATTTTTGTGAGAAATCTATGCTACATTGTGTGTGATGAAGTACTTAGCCTTGTAGTGTCTCACTCACAGAAAGCACTTCTTAATGTTCGTTCCCTGCTGTTGGTTTAATATTGTCTTCGTCATTATTATCATGGCTATTGTTACTCCCTACTGATATAAGAAAATTAATATGCTTTCCCTTTTCATATACTTTTTTTCTACTGCATTCAGTCTACAAGCTATTCATTGGTACCTAGGGAGTGGCGGGCAACCTTCTGGCTCTCCAAGGGAATAAGACAGTGTTTCGCCCCTTGGAACTTTGCAGTCCTATGGGGGAAAACAGATGGTGTAGGTGCCACTAGGGAGTTCACAACATGAACTTCTGCCCAGATGTCACTTTGTCCTGGTTTCCTCTGTTGGATTGACCTTCTCAGATGCCGTCTGGAGTTCCCACAATGAATTCCTGTTGTCCATGGTGTCCTATAGGATTTCATATACCTGCGGTTAGCCACTCAGAGATGTCACCCTGATGATGAGGAGAAGGCCTATCTCTATGTTTCCATTAGAGCAGAAATGCTGAAGTGGACTTGCAATCACGTGGAAGGAGGCCTTGAAATGTGGCTGGGAGTTAGAACACCTCAATTCTAATTCTTGCTTTCATCTAAACCAGTTGTGTGACCCTGGGCCCGTGAATTGCATTTCTCCTCTCCAAGCTTCGTTTCTCAACTGCCATCCTGAGGTGGTCTGTACTTTTGTATCCACAGTACAAGTTCCAAATGCAGATTCCCAGGACCTGACCGCAGTGATTCCATTCAGCAAATGGGGGTGATCCAGAGATATCTACATGTTTAGCACAAACCCCTGGTGATTGAGTAGGGGGCATCTGTGGTCACTGGATTTTATCATCTCTAAGGCTCTCCCGAGCTATTATTTTTTATGAGCCTCTACCACTTTTCAATCATTTCAATAGTTACTGCATCAATTTGAGAGACACATTTGCTATAATCACGTAAATACCCGTATTTGATTTCACCCCATCTACTTTCCTAGGCTTTCCAATATCCTGTGTTTCAGTGTAATCATCCACACTCCGGCATTCTTTGGATGAAAACACTGAAAAGGCCAACCTCCTTTTCTTTTTGATCCCAGTAGTAGAAGAAGGGGGAAAAAAAAAAAAAAACAAACAAGCAAACCCGAAGACCATAGATTCAGAACAATGACTCCAAACAGAGAATGAGCTGACATGATATTAATCAGACTGTAATTTACTAACATGCTCCTCTCTCAAATTTGCATTGCCAGCATTTGTGGCTCTTTCCCTCCTCCCTGTCTTATGATTACCTCTTGCTCACTTTCATAGAATCCAGTTCTGTGTGGATCTGGAGAGTGAGAACGTTTAATAATACCCGACAGCTAATTAATCCTCACTGAGTAATGAACCTGTTCTGTTTCAGTGCTAGGAGGCTCAGCTTTTCAAAACAAGAATGTAGCTATTTTTTTCCCCTTTTTCATGGAAGAGATAGCCTCTTAAATCCAATCACTCTCACCCAGAGATGCTATGAGAAATGCTTTTTGAAAACCATATCGCCTGCTCAGTTTATAACATTCACAGCAATAATCATAATGATAATTTAATAATAACACCTTATAGCTGTAAAGTGCCATTTATGTCACCAAGTGTTTTCTTACCTAATCTTTTGATTCACCTTTAGAACAGCCAGTGAGGAAGGGCAGTGAAAATGCTGGTGTCCAGTACTTAGCATTTATTATATCCCATGCACCATACTGTACACTGTGTCTGCATTAGCTACCATGTGAGGTCCAGCTTGCTGTCAAATACCCACTGTACAAATGAGGCTTGGAGAGGGTAAATAATATGCCCAGGATCATGCAAGACTAAGAATCAAATCTTGATCTACTTTGCTCTGGGACCTGAGCCCTTAGACCTGGTACAGGCCAAGAGAGAGAAGTGACTGCCAACTGGTTATTCCAGAGCTGGGACTAAAAATCCAGAGCTATGGCTCTTACACTTGGACATATACATTCAATGATTTGAAATGGCTTTCTCAATAATTAATACCATTATTATTCTACATCAGGATGTCTGTCTCTGTCCCCACCCACTCCCCTTTCTCATTCATACACAGTGAGTTTTTAGATCCCTGAGCTCAGCGTGCAAAAACGATGACCCTGAGGTCTTCTGTAGTTCCACTGAGTGAGAGTCCCCTGGCCTTCTTCCCTGGCCTCCCAATACCAAGATGTCAGAGGCCCTCAGAGCCCTTTCTAGGCAACAGAAACTCATAGTTCTAGTAACTTCTTCAGTCTGGGATGGGAGCTGGGTGTTGAAAAATCACACTTAGCATATTTCTCCCTGCAGGAAGAGCCTGGAGTTATTATTTGCCTCATTATGGTTGGCTGCCAGTGCCCTGGGAACCTAGGCCAGATTGGAATCTGTTTTTTAACCAGTTGTAAATATAGATTTCAGAAAGTGTGATCTCCCACGCTGTGACTTGCCGTAACCACTCACAGAAATGTAGGGGATGTAATGAATTTCAGTTTTCTAATGGGTTTTACCTAAATCTTCCTTACAGCTAATATAAATAATAATAATAACCATGTTTATTAGGTGCTTACTATACACCAGAGGCTGGATTTCATATCCTTAAATCATGTAGCTCCAACAGTAACTCTGTGAGGTATGTTCTGTTATCTCTGGGTCACCCAAAACCTTCCTCCCTCAGAGAAGCTCTCCTAGAATATCCTAGGGAAAATTGCACGCTCACATCTTCCCATTCACTCTTGATGGCCTCACCCTGTCCCATTTTTTGTTAGCTTGCATCATACCTGGGATGCTATTTGTCCATTTTCTGCTGCCCCTCCACCTCCACTTAAATCACGCACATTATTTTTTCTCTGGGAGCCCCAACACCTAGAAGAACCCATGGCACGTGTGAGGCCATGTATTTGTCAAATGAATGCAGTACACAGAAGTAGAAATGGAGTCCTAGCATCGACGAGGATTTTTACCCAAGATCTCATGGCTAGAAAAAAAGAGTAGGACTGGGATTCAGATCTAGTCTATCTGAACCCAATATTTCCATTATGATTCCTTATAGCTTCTGCCTTCTAAAAAAATATTAGTTCATGATCGGAGAGTGGGGGGAGTTTCATTATTTGTGTTTCTCAGAATCCTTCAGCAGAGCTTTCTTAATGCATAAGCTTGAATTTGGCAGTGGGAAGTGGGGGACAAGGACCGCAAAGGCTTTTGTCTCGGGGTGGGCACTCAGTGGATGCCCTGTTTCTAGAGAGATTAAAGATAGAG